AGTCTGCCGAGGCGTCGAGAACAGATGTCCTCTCTGATGTAAACGCAAACTCCAGCCCGAGGCACAAAGGAGTGTTCCAGTTTGTACCCCGGGTAGGAGAGATACCGAGACATCAGCCGGAGAGGACAACTGCGTCTCGGTCAGAAAGAGCAGAGTCGGTCTCGCCGTCTCGAGATGGTAGTGGAAGGCGTTTAGATTAAAGTGAAGTCCCCTGATATTGCAGAAATTCACGGACAGCTTGGCAGGGGTCGCCTTGGTCTTGTTGCTCCGTTTGCCCCGAGCAGTTGTAGTCTTGAGTGGAATTTCGCCCCCCCCCCCCAGAATACGCGGGGCAGCCTGAGCACCCACGCTCAGAAGTGGAGAAACATGGTCGTGGATGCTCAGTGAGGGATTCTCCAGGGGTGCTGGTACCCTCCTGGGGTAGTCTATCATTATTTAATTTCGCGACCATGTTGATGGGGGGGGATGGATTTGGGCCTCCGGCCACCTGCACTCACCAGACGAAACGCGGAAGCAGAGCTTGCACTTCACGCCGGTATTCTGTGAAGTCGTGGTACCACCCCGGTTTGAGCCGGCCCATACGTACAACAGCAAAGCTGCCGCGTGACTCTACCACTGTTAATTCTATTCCCTTAAAAAATATTCCTCGTCTTGCCCTGAAAAATGTTCGTTTACGGCAGACTTGAGCCAATTATCGTCAGGAAATCGCTTTCCCGAAAGTCTCTTTTTAAGTTTGGGAATAAAATGGCTTGAACTGGGCTATATTGTGGGTGGTTATTTTGCTCAAACCCACAGTCTCGTAAAGCAGCCTTAGAGAGGCGTGCCGTGTGAACCGGTGCATTGTTTGATCCCTTTTTGTGTGGACATGAAAAGGGATCAGACAATGGATCGGTTTACACACGCTAAACAAACAAACACACAGCTCTAAAAACTCCCTACAACTGTCAACCCGCGCCTGCTTTTAAAGCGCAGAGAGCATTCGCGGCACCTATCCTACACTGACTTTTGGGAGATTGAGATTGTGATGCAATATGGTGTGTATGATACCAACAAATAGGTTAGTCATTTCTGCTAACATCCTAATTACTCGTGCATTTTCTAATACAATTTTTTCAGTAATTTTCACGTTTTCTTCTGTAGCTGCTGTGATTGGCCCACCCGAGCGAGGGTCATCTTCGATGCCCCCCTTCCTCTTCTGGATTCATTTGACCACTTCTGTACAGTTGACATTTAAGGAGCAGTCTTAGTTAACAGCCACTATTTCTTCATTGATGTTATTTGAGTTTTTCCTTGTTTAGTGAAGAATTTAAGCACCGTACGTTTTTCGATTTTCTTCAATATTGTCGACTCAATCATTCCCATCGTCTATGACTGAATGCTCAGGTAATGTCGTTAGCTGATGATTTTTTTTAAATCAGAGAGCATCGATAAGAGTGTATTGTTGCGCGCCATAACTAACGCCTGGAGACATTAGTTACCACTAGCGCCCTCTAGTATCCAGTAGCAGAACTAAGAGAGTCAAGATCCTTCTAGAGATTTCCATACCAGAACTTTCTACACCTAGAACATTCTAGATCCTAGACCCGGGCCCGTATTGAATTGGCGAAACAAGCGAATACTTCGAAGCGATACAACTGCTAACTAAAGTGATCAGTAGTACAATTGTGTATTATTATTAGTGTGTTTTAAGTTGCAATTGGTGTTCTGTAATTCGAGTGTCAATTTTGGTCATTCAATCGGCAGTTTTTACAGTCACAAACCCCAAGCTCGTAACAATTTTTGTCAGAAGTGGAATCAAATCATGCTGATTTTACCTAAGGACGCCACGGATCCTTACCTGAAGTCAACGCCAGCAGGAGACGGACCAGAGACGATTTGGTGGTGCAACGCCGCAGACCTCGGAGTCGGTATTGTAGATGTCTTGACTTTTCTTAGTTCTGTCGTTCTAGCGTAATATTTTTACCTACACACCCTACACCACATATTCGTGAATACTTCGTCACTTCGTCCGAAGACGAAAGCACATCGCTTCGCTGTTGGTAAACTCTCGCACATCAAAGCATTCTATCGCGATGGACTTCGCTTGTGCGGCCACACTTCAACGTAATATTGTAGTCTTTGCTTCAGTCTGTCCTATAGATTACTGTATATATACTAGACATAGTGGTCTGTCCACAGACATCGTGAGTAGCGGATGTGTTAAAGTAAATTGGGGTTGGCTACGTATTTACAATAATGAACATTTTTGATGTAATGAGAAGATGAATAATTTTATGAGATATCATAATAAATAATGAAGGCGCCTAAAGCGGACCCCTGTATTTTATTTAAGAATAAGGGTGACAAACGAGCACACAGTCCACCTGATGGTAGGTGGATGCTGTGGCTCATAGACACATACATTTAACCTCGTTTAAGAATCAAAATGCACATGCGTTGCCAGCCCTGAGGACTAAGATGGAATGCCTCGATTCCAGTAAAACGGGTCCCCTGTTCTCTACACTCACCATATGAATCACAGCAGCATTAAGCTGCTATTTTACGCTGGTATTCTGTGAGAGCGTAGTCCTACCCCGGTCGAGCCGCTACATTCGTGCTACAACCATAATATCGCTGCAGCGTATCTCTACCACGTAAAAATAACCTATTAAAAATAATTATTCACTGTCGTATAATATAGACCGACCGCGGTATCCATTTTGGGTTTAGCGTGTGTTTATCGCGATAAACTTTACAACGCGCACTTGACTTTACTTGACTCATTATCGTCAGCAAATTGCTTTCCCCTAAAGTCTTTTTTTAAGTTTGGGAATAAAAGAGCTAGATTTTTTTATATAGAAGAGGGGGTAAACGAGCGTGCGGCTCACCTGATGTTAAGTGACTACCGCCGCCCATCTGGACGTTACGGTGAGTGGGTAAAATTCAGGTAAATGTTAGATACAATATAAACAACTTTACTTTTAACGTCGTATATTAAATTTAATAATAACAAAAAGACAATTTATATCATCACATTTTGTTACAAAATATAATTTATTTATTCTTAACCGCATTCCTTATAAAGGCACGCACTTAATGGCTTAATGCTGTAAGCTATTTTTTACCAACTAACCCAAAGAGAAAAACAATAAACAAAAATTATATTTTGATCACAATTACACAAAATAATGTTGATACTTAACTACATATATACACTTTACAGATAAATAGACTATATATACAAAATACTTATATTATGTAGATAATAATATAAAAATATTTTGAGTTTTCTAAAATAACAATTATTTAATATAAAATACGTAGATAAATACACATCCGTAATACGAAATTTATAAAAATAAACAATAAAAAACTAACTCTATCGTTTCATATTATCACATTTGCAGTTATCTATTAAACTATGCCCAGTGGCAAATTATTTTTGGATTTCATTTTGATTCAATCAATAAACTATAAAATTATTAAAAGTTTTTAAAATCTATGGAATAGGTTTTATTTAAATAATTCACTACTTACACTTTACAAACATTTTGCCTAAGTGTTTATTTTTAACGACAGTTAATTTCACCACAATCCGTCCGCCATTTCCGTTCCAGCATTTAAAAAAAATATCCGAGATATGCAAAGACTTCTATGTATTACTACTAGACAGGCAATACAGAACAAAAACTGATACAGCTGTGGGTCGCGATGGCACGGTAAGTATGCCAAGACGTATTTTCATTTACAAGTAAGTTACTGTTTTTGGGTAAATACGAAATAAAGTTTAATTCTTATCTGAAATTTTCAAATCACATTGAAAAAGATGTGCGCACATTAAACAAAATCAGTGTTAGATTGTCGAAAACAACGTTCGTGGTTTACAAAACAAAGAACTAGTCTTCTCGCCAGCCCACAATCGACTAAAGGAGTTATAGAGAATTAACCGTAACTTAGCGCGTAACGTATTAAGGCCGCCGAGCCAGTGTTGCCGTTTCAGCGCATTTGGAGCTAGATCTAGTGCAATTCTAGGATCTAAAGCGCTTTTTTTTTAAATATCTACGTGCTAAAAATATCTAGTCTACTAGTCTACAAGATATTTTTAGCACGTAGATATTTAAAAAAAGCACTATGGATCCTAGAATTAAACCAGATCTAGCGCCAAATGCGCTAAAACGGCAACCCTGCGCCGAGCCCGTCTAGTAGTATAGAAGTCGTTGCGTTGAGATATGTACGAACATTCATTATTCTTGCGTTTGTTATCATTTGACATTGCCGTTTGTCAGTTATAAACTACGACACCTTGAAAGGTATGCTTTTTGGTCAAAATTACCAGAGTTAAATTAAAATACAATATAAATTATCATTTAATATTCATTGTATTATTGAAATTATATTTCAATAAGATAATTGATTCTATCAATTATCTTATTGAAATTAATCAAATAAATAAAAAATAATTTAAAAAATCATACAACATGTAAGAGGCTCAAATCAGTACATAAAAGATAACAAATAACCTACTAATAAAGCGCATTAATCTTTTATATTCTCCAATGAATTGGAATTCGTATTATGAATATCGTTAAATAAAAGAAGGTAACAACACCAATGCAGCTTGATGTATAATATAAAATATTTCAGACAATTAATCTTTATCGTCACATGTTATACAAAGACTATTTATTAATATATAAACTAAAGAAAACTGAAAATCCAAAAAATACGCATCTTTATCCTCTTACAATAATAAAATAAAATAAAGGAAAAAAATCTATTGAATAAAACAATACGTACGAATTTAATAGCGTTTAATTTTTTTAAATACCCTTTTAACCCCTTTTTAAAAGCTGAAGGTAGCCCGGAACTCTAATGGTAACTATAACATCGTGACAACAAATACTTCAATCCCCTCCATCCCTACGAGCATGGATGCACTAAAGCATCGGAAACGTTAGAAATTAAACTAAATTCAATTAAACGCGATCAAATCCGTAAAATTAGTTTTGTTATGTAATATATTAATTATTATCGCTCTGCAAGAGTGACGAAGCGAAGATCTGCTGCAGGATGTGAGGCAAAGAGGCCACGTCCATGCACACGTGCGCGTGCCCCGCGGGCAGACGCCGCAGCAACCTGACCAGTGAGAACCAGTATTAACAATGCTATAAACATTACTAATATTCCCCTTAACCACTCGCGGTATGTATGTATGTGAATGCTGTGGCCCATAGACATCTACATTTATCCTCGATTAAGAATCGTCGATGCGTTGTCTCCCCTGTGTACTAAGATGGAACACCTCGTTTAAAGTAAAAACGGGTCTACGGATCTCTACGCTCACCATACGAAACACAGCAGTATTAAGCTGTTATTTTACGCTGGTATTCTGTAAGAGCATGGCCCTTCCCCGGTCGAGTCGACCCATTCGAGCTACAACCATAATATAGCTGCAGCGTGGCTGTACCGCTATCATTACCGCTACCGTTACAATCTAAAGGCCACTGTTGAACATAGGTCTTCCCCATAGATTGGCTCATAGGGAGGATATTTGCCTTCAAGGAATGTAATTCCGTGTTTGCCACAGTTGCCACGCCCGGCAAGTGGTTTCACAATCGCAGTTTATTTTTATTTTTAGTCGTTATTACGTCATTAGGAAGACGCTGCTGTTCATCTCCTGATTTATTTACATCAGTCGCCTCTGACGACATCCACAGGTTGATATAGGATAGTAGATATTCTTACAAACCCACTACTCAGTACCATAATCTCTTTGGGTGTCGTAAAAAGCAACAGAGGGAAACAACTGCAAAAATCTGCGGTTTGCAAACCAATTACCAAACGTGGCAATCATAGGAAATTTCTCCCAATGAAGCATTCTATGAAGAGGCTAATGTTCAGCAGTGGATTTTGATAGGCTATAATGAATATAAGAGTTCGTATTTTCACGTCTTTTTATAGGATAGAGTGAAAAACGAGCACACAATCCACCTGATGGTAAGTGTTTGTTGTGGCCTGTAGACATCTACATTTATCCTCGATTACGCACCAAAATGCAGTTGCGTTGTCACTTGTGGGGGCTAAGATGGAATGTTCTCTACACTCACCATACGAAACAAAGCAGCATTAAGCTACTATTTAACGCTGGTATTCTGTGAGAGCGTGGTCCTTCCCCGGTCGATCCGACCCATTCGTCATCATAACTACATCGTCATAACTACAGCATGGATCTACCCCTTACAAATCACGTCGCGTGTACGTTGTATTAAAACACTAACACACTGTGTAGTGTTGAGTACAGCGAACCGTGTATTGGCAGGATATACATACATCCATACACTCGTTTCGCTCTTTTTCGATTTTCAGATTTTTTTAATATAACGAGTTACTCTTCATAGAAATTTTTTTTTTATATATATATATATATATATATATATATATATATATATGTGTACAAAATAGAGAAGCGGTCTTCCTGACAAACACAAAAATAATAAATTGTAATGGCAATTATGACTAATATCCTCCCTATGAGGCTTGTTCAGCAGTAGGCGGTGGATGGATGAAGAACTGTTTTACGTGGTATAGTATAGTTGTAGCACGAATGGATCGACCTCGAGCGAGGAAGGACCACGCTCTCACAGAATACCAGCGTAAAATAGCAGCTCAATGCTGCTGTGTTTCGTATGGTGAGTGTAAACAAACAGAGACACTTTTTACTGGAAACGAGGCAATCCATCTTAGTCCTCACGGGTGACAACGTATCTGCGTTTTGATTCGTAATCGAGGATAGATGTAGATGTCTCTGGGCCGCAACATCCACTTAACAGGTGGACTGTGTGCTCGTTTGTCACCCTTATCCTATAAAAAAGACAGCAAAAATCACCCTTCTTCATTTCTTTAATCAATTTAAAGGGAAGAATTTTACATAACTTTTAAATCGAATAAGGATAGATTTAGTCGTGTTCTTGTCTTTATGCACTATAAAATAAAACTACACTATAAAATGCATGTCATATTTTTACTGGTGATGAGGCATTCCATCAGATTCCTTATCGATGATATATGTAGGTGCCGATAGATCAGAGGTGTACTACGTGCCGTTAGTCACTTTAACTAGTATAAAAACAACTTTTTACCAACGTTAATTAATGAGGCGGTTATCAAGTGGACTGTATTTCAATGACCCCATATATCATCACCTTTGAACATATCCGATCCGTAAATTCAAGTTGGAAATAAAATATACTCACGTGTTGGCCTCATCTCCCAAACTGCCAATAAATATAACGTGCGCCTGTACTCTGTGGTCCGACGTCAGGATAGTGCCCAGCGACTCGGGAGCAATGCCATATCTATAGCAGAAAGTACACGGCTCGTTTATACACATACGAGTATTATCGTACAATTCGAATTCTTTTTTTTTAACGTTACCCCTACACTAGGATTTTCTCCTGTATCGTGGGGGCAGTTTACAAACATTAATTGCACAAGGACAAACATCCAGATCCGGAACAGTTATTTGTAGGTCATATAAATACTTTGATTAGAACCCGCGATCCCCAGCGCAGCCACTCATTGCTAAGCCACTGCGCTACGGAGTCGTCGTACAATTCGAATTATAAATTGGTTTTAAGAAACATTCTTTCTTAAGAGCACCATTCATCCATCTATAAAAAAACCATAAAAGTACACTGCCTGATCATAGGCGTGCCCTATTGATTGTCTCAAAGGGCGGCTTTTGCTATAGTTGCGTCACTTGTCGGGCGGATTTGCAACAGCAGTTTTCATACTTTTGAGCTGTTATCATGAAGATGATACCCATCATTTGTTTCAATTTCTCCCTGTCACCATGTACGACACCCTACAGACCGAAAAATGGCTAAGTTCGTATACTACCGCGAATTTCTTTCGTTAAAAAAATTCTAGTTTAAACCTAAGAATATACAATTGTAAACTACTTTATGTAATAAGGCCGGTTGCGACCAGTCGTGACGTTACAAAGACCACGTAATAGAGTCCAATCGTATCTTACTTGGATTATAGTACATACCGTCGTAGATTCGCATCGGAGAGTATAATGACGATCGCTTCGTCAGCGTCCTCGCCGGCGAGGCTGGAAATGGCCTGCTTTGCAGCCGCCAATGTATTGTCACCCGACCAGCAGAATTGAGAGTGCGCGTGCATTGTGCGGATTATCTACAAAGATAATGTAATTACATTTTAAAGTATAATAGTGACAAATGATTAATATTGTCAATCTGATAAGAAGTGGATGTCGATCCTGTATTACAAATCAGAAAGAGGATGCGTTTTCACCAGTGAGGACTAAAATAGAATGCTTCGTTACCATTAAAAGGGTTCCCTACATTCACTATATGTGAGAGCGTGGTCCTTCCAGGTTGAGATGGGATACGACCATGCTCCTAGAGAATTTCAGCGTAACATAGCGGCTCAATGCGGCTATGTATCTTATACTGAGTGTAAAGAACTGGAGACCCCTTTTACTGGAACGAGGTATTCCATCTTAGTCTACAGGAGTGACAACATATATGCATTAATTCTCAATCGAGGGTAAATATAGATGGCCACAGCATCCACTGACCATCAGGTGAACTGATGGTTCGTTTACCACCCTTATTCTATGAAAAAAAATTAAATACACATTTATAACCTTTATAACTTTACGTAATACCACATTTGTAACTGCCGCGGAAACATGGATAGCGCTGCCTTTTTAAGGCGGGTTTTAAGGCGCTTACCATGCATAATCGCGAAATGTGCAGCCTACGTAATTTTTTCCGACAAGATCGGATAATCCATTCTATAATGACGTCATTTCTTGTGATTAAGGGCTTGTCCCTCTATTCATACCCAAAGAGCAATGGCAAGGCCCGGCAGTACAGAGCATTTCCGACCGGGAGATCGTATGGAAGGAGAAGGAGCTCCACGGGAGGTTCTAAAAGGCTCTACATGAGCCTTTCGTATACACAGTTTCCTCCCTCTACTGGCTACGTTTTGGTGACCTCTTAGGAGAAACCTGGGTATGAGTACTGGGTATAAGTTCTTTGGGTTTTGTCTGTGCAATAAAGGATCAGGTTAATAAGACCAAGAACTATCGAAGATACATCCTAAGGGATGGCACCGTCGACATCTGTCGAGCTTGTCGCCATCCAGGTGAGTCACTCTACTTCGGCGCTTTCTTACTCCGAGTACTTACACAGGCACAACCTAGTACCCAGAATTTTACACCAGTGTCGTTATGAAATACGGCCTCGCGGACCGAAAATTGCCCGTATTACAAGTATTTGCCGGAAACCGTGCTCGAAAATGACTGCGCCAGGCTCTATTGTGCCGGGTCATCATCACAGACGGGACTATTCTTGACAATAAGCCTGATATTGTGCTGATGGACCGGACACAGTCAAGGATATGTATGGTTGACATTACCATTCCGTATGACGAGAACCTCGTGAAAGCCTAAACAAATAAGCGAACAAAATATCTGGACACGGTTCACGAGGTATTCGACATATGGGGTGGACTGCCGACCGAAATTACACCTGTAATCGTTTCTACGAATGGGCTAATCCCAGTTAGCCTCTCGGGCCATCTGACACGACTGGGACTCCGTGACGGACCGCTCCAAGCTCAAATGCAAAAGGCGGCTCGATACCGCCCACATCTTCCGCTGGTTTCTTTCCCTTTCCCCCTAACCCTCAGCCGTTTGGTCCCCCTGCCGAGAGCTTCCATCTGGATGGGTTTCTATTTATTTTATTCTATTTATATTTATGTATACTTATCATTTTCATTTACAATTATATATTTATACAGCAAAACCAATGAGAAAACTATATAGATACCCATAATGATTTCTTATATTTACGCGAACATTGCACATGATTAAAACTACTTTTACGGATTTTATCGCGTTTATTTTTACTTTTTATTTTTAATTCCCGACGTTTCGGGCGCTTTCCAGCACCCATGGTCACGGTGGACTGAGATGACTGACGTCCCGATGTCATTGTTAAACCCGGAGTACCTTCAGCTTTTTTAATTATTGTTTATGGTCCGATCTATGCAAAATGAACTGACTATGTCCTGAGGTTTTGCAGTGGTATGCTTGGGTTTAGTTTTAATTTTATTGATTATAGGATCCCAAGCAAGTGGTAGTACCCAGCCTCCTTCTCTATTGAAATTAGGATGTTTTTTTAATTTCAATAGCCTCACGTATCATCCTTGGTAGGAATCGGTGTTCTTTCGCGAGGATTTGTGGTCTATCAAATCTGATGTAATGGTTGGATATAGATACCCCTTAATCATATATAGATACCCCTTAAGCTTCTGTTGCCAACACCCTTGCCAAGCGTGGGAATTATGTCAAATGAGGGATTTGCCTTACGAAGCTATTTATAGGGGGTGTAAGATAGGTTGGAAAAATAGGTCATAAAGAGCGGGGTTGTCTGATTTCCCTTCTTAACGGGTTCATCTCCCATCAGGTATGTCATGCTCTCTTAAAGATCACTGCTTGCAGCGTGGTATGGCGAGTTGTCCACTTTTTTTTATAATGGTGAAGGACGACGGCTGTGACTTACGTTATACTTGTGAACAAGTGCTTGTGAAATCTGGTGTTCTCGGTGTAACAATCGATACTTCACAGGAATTCAGTTTCATGTCCAATCCCGCCCGCGGCTCTCGTGATACTGACGCGGTGCGCTCGAAACAGTGGACATTTATATTCGTGTTTTTACAGGCAATATAAATGATTCTACGTTCATTCCGATCTATGAACTGTATTTTATTACATATTTATTAACGTTTTAAAATCACATACACTACACTCGGGTTTGCAACACATTTATAAGCAAAGACTTCTATGTATTCTATATAGGCTTTGCGGCCTTAACACATTGCGCAATAAGTTACGTGAAATTCCTCGTAACTGCTTGTATGAACTGCGAGTGGGCGAGATTAGTTCTTTATGTGACTAACAAAACGCTGTCCGTGTGCACACTTTGTCAACGCGATTTGAGTTTTATTTCAGATAAGTATGTAACTTTATTTCATATTTGCCGAAAAATTTGTTACCGTCGTAAATAAAAATACAACTGCGTGGCACATATCCGCCCAGCCGATGTCCGCGCCCGCGCGATTTACGTTTTTTTAATAGTATTACAAATCTTATTTTATTAGTATTAATATTGCATGTATTATTTTTATTTAATTATAAAACATGCTTTTAATACCTACTGTCTATTCCTTTTTGTTTTTAATAATTAATATTATACTTTGACCTTTAAAAATGAGAGGATATTTGCGGAATTTCTTTCGCCTTTCTTCTCCGGGCAGAAGAACATCGTTTTAAAACGATAGTAAATTACAAACAATAACAGAACCTCTTGTTAACTAACCTGTAGCCTTTGCTTTTCATTTTCAGGCGGCCGGTCCACCCTTACAAGCTCCAGAGGCGGAATCTTCTCCAGAGTGTGCGTATATGTCGTACCGAATGCGCGACTCGTAGCCTTTCAGCGCCTCTGTTATAAGCACCACCGCTTCCATAGAACGTTCTAGACGACCGTCGTATGAATTGAACCTGAATATATTTATAAATTGTTATAAATTAGTGTAAAGCTAATAACTTGACCATACAGCCTTGCGTATACAATTAAAATATGGTCTTCTTTTTGTATTCATTTTAACTGTAATATTTTTTCTCTACGTAATTTTTTAAATTAGGATTAAAAACATATTTTTTAATCCTAATTAATAAAAAAAAATTTAAAACATCTTTTATTAATTTTTACATTAAGCGTGTTTTTGTAGAGAGGGTCGCAGCAGGACTGTAAAAACTACCGTGGCATCAGCCTTCTTAGCATTGTGGGACTGTATGCTAAGGTACTGATTGAAAGGGTCATGAAAGAAACTGATGAAAAAATTTGGGAAGTGCAAGCGGGATTTAGAAAAGGAATGGGATGTACAGATCAAGTATTTTCCTTGCGCATGATCGCGGAGAAGTTTCTGACCAAAAACCAAAAGGTTTTTTGTGCGTTCATGGACTTGGAAAAGGCCTATGACAGAGTGGATAGGGATTTGCTATGGCAAACACTGAACTCATTTGGGTTGAGCGCTGGCTTGATACAGGCATTGGAGTCTCTTTATAGGGACTCTAGTGCTTGTGTTAGGATCAACGGGGTCTACTCGGACTGGTTTGACATCCATAAATGTGTCAGACAGGGCTGTGTGGCTTCCCCGTGGCTGTTCAACCTATTTATGGACAGTTGTTTGCAAAATTTGAAAGTTGAAGAATGCGGATTAAGAATGGGAGAGTTAACCATCAAATGCCTTTTGTACGCCGATGATCAAGTTATTCTTGCGTCGTCGGCGGCCGAGTTACAAATGATGGTTACATTAATGAACGGATCATTAAAAGAAAGGGGTATGAAAGTGAACGCAAGTAAGACGAAGGTTTTTGAAAGAGAAGAAAGTAAAACGATTTGTGAAATAAGAATAGAAGGGGAGTTGATCGAGCAAGTAGATGAGTTTGTATATTTGGGCTGCGTATTTAGCAGGGATGGGAGATATGATAAGGATATAGAACGACGAGTGAATGCGGGAAATAGAGTAAATGGGGCCTTGCACTCTATTGTGAAGAGTCAAAATGTGTCGAAAAAGGCACGTATGGCAATTCACAATGCTGTGTTGGTCCCTACTTTAACGTATGGTAGTGAAAGTTGGGTGTGGCAGAAGAAGCACGAGAGTAGAATAAACGCAGTAGAAATGCGGTCGTTAAGGAGTATGTTAGGGCTGAATCTGAATGACAGGGTAATAAATTGTGTAATAAGAGAAGAGTGTGGTTTGCAAGATGATGTTGTGACCAGGATTAAGAAAGGAATGCTTCGGTGGTTTGGTCATGTGGAAAGAATGAATGAGGAAAGAGTGACAAAGAAAATTTATGTTGCAGAAGTGAATGGCAGAGTCGGAAAGGGACGTCCTAGGCGAAAATATATCGACCAAATTGGCGATTTATTGAAAACGGGCCAAATTAGGAGTACCCTTAACCGACGAGTATGTATGCGTAGGTGTATGGATGTCAAGGAGGCAAGAGAGGTGTGTCAGGCTCGTGCCAAATGGAAGTCTGTAGTCTCTGCCTACCCCTCTGGGTGACAGGCGTGAGTGTTTATGTATGTATTGTATATATTCGATTGTTCGTAGAGTCAATTAATACCCGAACTGAGATAAACCTATGTATTAGGCTAGCTATAATAAGGATTATCACTGATGCGGGATCCCTTTTTGGCATCACACAAAGCTATTAATTTCATGAACCTGTAAAACGCAGTGTTTGTTAAAACACACGTTCCTTTCTTACTTTTTTCATATTTATATAACAAATACGGTCTCCAATGGTCTGTAGTATACTATCTCAGATATTCCAGACGGCAAAGTAGCAGAATCAAATGTACAAAACATCAAGTATTGCTATAAGCGATCCTCCCATCAAGTGTGGCTTAGCAACATATCTTCCCTGCTAGCTGAGACGCTTATATTTATTTATTATATATACAAGATAAGTGGATGCTGTAGCCTGAAGGCCCCAAATCTTTCCGTCTCGGAATCAAAATGAAGAGTCGGTGTCACCACTGAGGGTTAAGATGGAATGCCTCGTTACGAATAAAATGGGTGTCCGGTTCTCACTATACGAAACACTGGAGAATTATGCTACTATTTTTTTTTTCTGATATCACCACTTCACCGTTGGAAAGTTGTTATCACTTTAAATAAAACTAATTTAACTGATTTTACTTATAAAATAAAACTAAATTTACAGATTTAATTCAATTTTAACTTTTAAATAACTCGTACAATTAGTTCCATTTAATGTGTAGTGTTTGCGTAAATATAAAAAATCATTATGACTTTTTAATTCCCGGCTTATCGGGTAAAATCAAAAGCCCACTGAACAGAGGCATCGCCCATAGACTACCTCATAAAAGGGATAACGCTAGTTGCATTGCCAGGCATCTCTGAGGGTTGAGGTAGGTGGGTTTGGCAATCGCAGTTTTTTGGAAGATTTTTGAGTTGTTATTAGGGAGAGAGGTTCTCGAATGTCAGCCGCGTACTGGCGAGCGCCGTGCTAAGCGACATCTTACTAGATGAATTGACGATCTGACGATCTGATCTGAACATGCAGGTAGTCGATGAACGCAGATGGCTCAGGATTGTAGTTTGTGGCAGTCTAATGGGCGGGTCTATGTTCATCAGTGAACATATGATGGGGCTTTCTCCATCAGGCAAGCCCATCTTGTGTTTTCATTTCCCGCTGGCACTTCTTACGAAATCTACGGAATGATATTGAGTTCTAGCAAAACAAAATATTATTTTTTTTGGACAAGCAAATATTTTCTAATCGTTATACATTACCCAGATAAGGTCAAATTTCGGCTTACCATACATATTCATTAACAACTTTAAGCGTGATAAGCCTAACTCTTACAACATATTGAATAAGTAATGGTGTTCACATTAATATTATGAACCTACTCAGTGGAATAGTAAGTAACGGCATACTTTTAAAAATGGTGTTTAGCCAATCGTCTCCATCCAAGACAATAGTTCCTTGTGGTTACTAATACATAATAAATAAATGTAACGATTTGGAGCCTTAAAATCTATTACAAAAGATCTATTTTTACATACCTATACATACTGCCGGACACGTCGAGCACAAGCCTCAAACGTTTAGGTTTATCAGGTGGAGAACCTGGAGGTGGTTCTTGGTCTAGCCGCCTGCGATATATTGCCCGTTCGCCAGTTATACCTGACATATAAAATAGAAGTACATGTTTGTAATAAAGTAAAGCTAATGAATTAATGTACCCAGCATCTATCGGAATGCTTTTTGTCAGAAATCATCGCGACCGTATATAGTGCTACTATAACATATAATCGTTGGTTAGTGATCGTTTAACCTCTGAACGATTTAGCCGATTGAGGTCATTTTTTATAGAATAAGGGTAACAAACGAGCACACAGTCCACCTGCTGATGGTAAGTGGATGCTGTGACCCGTGGACATCTACACTTATCTTCAATTAAGAATCAAAATGCAGATGCGTTGCCAGCCCTGAGGACTAACATGGAATGCCGCGTTTCCAGTAAAAAGTGTCTCTGGTTCTCTACACTCACCATACGAAACACAGCAGCATTAAGCTGCTATTTTACGCTGGTATTCTGTGAGAGCGTGGTCCCACCCCGGTCGAGCCGACCCAGCCGTGCTGCAACCACAATACAGCTGGCTCTACCACGAATAAAACATCCATCCAATGCAATATCCACACATATTCGTTTTGTCGAGACTATAGTTCATAACAATGCTGGAATCCACTAATCTCAGCTAGATAACGCTTAAGTCAAGATACAAACAAAATATTTATAAACAAAAATGATATTCATAACATGTGTTGGTTTAGTGCCAAGAAAGAAAATTACAAAATTTGGACCTGACAGGTGGCACTGGTTTTTTTTTTGATGGTTTTTTTTATATAGAATAACATGGATACCGACTGGTGAATATATTATTGATCTTAAAACTGCCTGCGAAGATTCCCCGTTTGCTGTGTATCGACCAAGTTATAGGCCAATGAAAATTAACCCTAACTAATATGTCAGTGTGGCATATTAGTTAGGGTTAATTTACATAAGAAATATAATACATTACCAATGTGTTATATGTCTTACGTAAGTAAAAGTAAAGTTACAGCCTATATACGTCCCAGTGGTGGGCTCAGGCCTCCCCTCATTTCTGAGAGGGTTTAGGGCAAGGAAGTGTCCGCCGCGCTGCCCAAATGCGTGTTGACGAACTTCACATGTCTTCGAAATATTTTTTTTTCTTATTCCTCAGACATGCAGGTTTCCTCACGATGTTTTCCTTCACCGCCGAGCACGTGGTAAATCAGCAGTTAAAATTGCAATTAACAATTTCATTGGTGCCGGCGGGGATCGAACCCGGGATACTCGCGTTCTGTTATATTTACAGCGAGCGTTAACCACTGAGCTACCACGGCTCTTTGTCGTATGTCTTACGTGTTTGTTCCTTTTCTTCTCGTTTTAACTAACGCAAACATTACCTTCAATTATTTTGCTATCGTCTAGTTCTCCACTAGTCTGGTGGCGGCTCCACTGTCTCTCTTTCTTCTTCGCTTGCAGTTCAGCTAACACTCCACGAAGAGCGGCAATCTACATAACATAAAAATATTAACTATCTCACTATTTCAGTACAGGCTTCGCTCTTAATTCCCACTTGGGATAAGTATTTGCATAGGCTTCCAACTTTGAGTGTCAAGTTCATTGACGTCCATGGTATAGAGAATATAAAACGTCTCGACATTGCAAGAACAAATTCCAACATTAAATGTACAATCCGAACTCGCAATAAATAATTCAATTTGAACTACTCAAGTGCTGATTTACAACGTATTCGGTAGTTAATAAAAACCGCGAGGAAACCTTATCCCTTAAATAATTAAAAATGGATAAGTAAGAAAGAACCAATATTATGGTTCTTACAAATGAATTCAAACGAGCACGAAGTCTACCTAATGGTATGCGGGTGCTGCCCATCTACATCTATCCATGATACAGAAGCAAAATGCATCATACCTGGTCACCAAAAAGGGGTTTCACCATTAGTAGGTAAAAAAGGGTTTCACCATCGCGTCGTTTTTCTCCAATCGAGCCAACCTTTTGTGCTGCAACCACTATACGCTGCAGAGTAGCTCAACCAGTCTTCAGTCTTCCAAGACGATTTCAACCACGAAAACTTACAGATACTTTTAAAACTTTTGTACCGACCAGAATATATTAGAGAACCTTTACTATGTGATGGAACTCCTATACTGTCTAGGGGTTATTCTAAGCCAGTGCCTAACTACCATCAAATCTGGTATCAAAGATGCACTGACTTAACAAAAGTCTATTCACTCTTGCCTTGAAGACACCCACATTGTAATCGGATGAAAAGACAGATGCTGGCAACTTATTCCGCTCTTTTGGTGTACGCATGATGAGCGACGTAGCAAACTGTTTGGTTCGAATGCGTGGTAAGTCAACGATGAAAGGGTGGACACTAGCCGAACGTCTGGTTGTCCGATGGTGGAAGGGAGAGGGAGGAATTAAATTATGCAATTCCTGCGCACACTCTCCGAAAGGCATCCTGTAGAAAACCGAAAGGCTGGCCACTTTGCGCCTGTATTCAAGACATCAAGAGAAACAGCAAGTGCTTCCCTACTGTCCTCGAGTGCCTCGCTCTATATGTGTGTGTCATACGCAAGAAGTTCCCCAGATGAACGATTTCGGCCAAACCCGTATTGCCGGTCACTAAGAAGGTCATATTGTTCTAGGCATGCCATTAGGCGGGCGTTCAATACCTACCACCTTTTCCCCCACTTCTACCGCCAAATAGGCCAAACACCAAACAGGCTGTGAGGCATTTCATAGTAGTTCCCAAAAATTGCAACGCATCTGCCTTGTCAGCCTTTTTTGTTTGAAGTTAGCTACAGGTGTACATGGACTACTGTAACTAAAGACGGGTGATGAAGAAACGTATGTAAAAGATGTCGGTTAAAATAAAATAAAAATGTTACCTGTGGCTGCACTGCTCGCAAAAACTGCCCGTACAACTTAGCGTCGTATTCGCTCATTTTGATCTCCTTCAAGCGCTCCTCAAACGCCTTCCTGTTCATAGCTCGCGCCGCTTCTTTAACATGCTCCGGTATGTCGTTTTTCTCTTCATCAGATAGCTGGGATAAAGATGTGTTATGTACATATCTCATCATGAATATATGAATGAATTAGAAGCGACAGTAGCCTAATGGCAGGGCGCGGACCGCGAACTCAAAAAGGTCGTGGGTTCGAATCCGCCATTCGACTACTGGCGTGAACCACTCGTAACACAAGCAATTTAAGCATACCACGAGTGGTTAAGGGGAATATTAGTAATGTTTATAGCATTGTTAATATTCTCTTTTTAGACAAAAAAAGTACCCAGTTCTATAATTATGAAACTTTTCATTTTCTGTTACGAACTGTTAAATTGTTACTACTATTTTCGACAACTTCAATCATCAATCATCATCATTACAGCCTGCCAACCACAGCTGAAAATAAGCCTCAACTATAAGTACTCATAGGGGGATATTTGCCAGTGTTGGCACGCTTAGCAGGTGCGTTGGCAACCGCAGTTTTTTTATTATCTTGAATAAAATCAGAAAGATGTTGCTGTCCATATACTGCTTCAGTTTTCCTCTCGCCTCTTACGTGGATATTGTTATTTCCCCACTACGCGGTAATCACAGTTTATAAAACTCATCACTTTTGGTTCTCTTCTTTGAGTAACGTACGGTTAAACTAGTCACCTACTGAGTTTTACGTTACACGGAGTTCATGAAGTGATTAATGGCTAAATACTCAAGCACTACTCACTTTCACTGAGTGACAGAGACAGCACGAGAGTGAGAGAGAGGTTTGGGCATAGCAGAGCAAACAAGTGAAATTTTGAGGGTTGAAAGCTAGAGAGATCGTCAATACATTTCAGGAAAGCTTTCATAATTTTAATTACCCATTTGTTATTTTATTTATTGTAAAACGTAAACTTCCTCTAGTAAGTGACTAAAGATGTGTACGGCGTGGAGTTAATAGATGAACGCCCGTCACTTTTTTTGTTTATCTAGACAGATTGGTCTGCTAAGCGTGGTAATTGTGTCAAAGTTCTAAAGTGCCTTCTCAGAAGAGGACTTTTATAAGTTGACTTGGATTTTTATAACTTAAGAAGGATATTCTACTTTGTATAAATGTCCCTCGAGAAACATTGTCTCCTTCACAACACCTACCACATGGTATCAATGGCCAAATTCAACCCAATGGAGCAATAAATGGGGGACGACTATATTGAACGGTGCACTTTTGTGGGCTGTAATAAATATATGATATATAAATTGATATTAAAATATGTATGTAGAATTGACTTAATTTTTTTTTATATTTAAGCAATATTATCATCCTTATAGGCTATCACAAGTCCACTGCTGGACATAGAGTTTCCTCAAGGAATGGCACTAAAACCTGAGACATCTGCATCCATCGACTTCCCGCATCCTCTACCATATCATTACTCTATCTAGTGAGGGGCCGTCCAACACATCGTTTACCGGTTCGTTCGATATCTCTGTCTCTCGAGAATCTTTCATCCCTATCTATTGTCGTTTCTTCGAGCTATATGTCTGGCGTATTGCCACCTCAGCTTACTGGTCCGTTGGGCATTGTCGATTACGGTGACTTCTGCTAATATTCTCATTACAAAGACTATCTTACAGAGAAACCCCGAGCATAGCCACATTCATAGCTCGCTGAGCGACCTTGAGCTTCCTTATACGGAAAGCAGTATGCATATCATCATCACACACTGGTTGTACACTCATGTTTTGAAGTTTTGAAGTACTCATGCCAAAAAAAATGTCTTCTCCCGAACGATTCCTAGAGGAGTTGGATCCGTCGATTGAGCCCTCAGTCAAATTAAGTATTATATAAATTCCTATTGGCCTGAACTCTAAAAATTTTCTCAATTTAACCTGTTTATGTATGTGTGGATGTATGTATGTAGTGTATGTATATAGATGTGTGGGTGTGTATGTATATAGATATGTGTGTGTGTATGTATATAGATGTGTGGGTGTGTATGTATAAGGATGTGTGGGTGTGTATGTATATAGATGTGTGGGTGTGTATGTATATAGATGTGTGGGTGTGTATGTATATAGACGTGCGGGTGTGTATGTATATAGATGTGTGGGTGTGTATGTATATAGACGTGCGGGTGTATATGTATATAGATGTGTGGGTGTGTATGTATATAGATGTGTGGGTGTGTATGTATATAGATGTGT